ACGTATAAAAAATTTTCTTTAATAATTGTGTAACAATCGGATCGTCATTTCCATATTTGGGACGTTCTCTCCTGTTGTTGATACGTGTCCGTAACAGGTAAACAAGGATCGACAATCACGTATTTTGATTGGACAGCTAACGCGTAAAGTGGAGAACTATAATATAGATATATCTGATATGCAAAAATAGTGTTCTTAAAATCGTTTTTCATAACAACTGAAATTATGGCCGAAAATATAATCATAGATCCCGAAGAACATTATAGACCTAATACTATAAATGATACAATCATATACTTAAATCAACAATTAAGCGCTTGCGGCTATCATTTTCCTTTAGACTTTTTTAATAATAAAGACGAAAAATCAATCATTAAAATTGTAGAATGTATATCCGCGTTATTGCAGCAGCAACAAAAAGACACTGCGTACAGAGAAGAAATGCATGATCAACATCAAAAATTGCAAAGTGACTATGAGTTACTGACATTCACTATAGTAAGCTAATAGACTATTACTACATTTGGTGATGTTAAAAAAAGCTTATTTACAATATTTAATTTCATTTATAGAAAACGTTAAAAACGAGAGCAGAATTAAGCGAACGTGAAGTAGATACTTTGAGAGCTAAATTAATGTAATGCATTCGTATCCCATTTTAACATCATTTCTCCTGGAAAAAGATTGTTTATTAGATTTTATTTTTACCAGAAAAATTGAAGACCATTTACAAATTGAATTTGAAAAACATCGGTCAACAAAAGATGAATTGACTAAAACGAAAGCTAATTTGCAAAATGTCAAATCGCAAGCCATGGTAATAACCTGGAAATATAAATTTCGGTTTTAAATCTTGCTCACATTTCACTTAAATGATTTATTCAACTTATAGCATGATATTAGAAAACGCGAAACGGAATACACTAGATTCAAAGAGAAAATGCAAAAGCTTCTAAGTGATAAATATCATTCCACTTGTGGTCCTCAGGATGTAAACCCACCACGGAAACAACTAATGAAAAGCATGAATTATGCTACACCATTCATTAATTATGCTGTTGATGCACCTATTGTATCTGGTGGTTTGAATTATGTGGAAAAAGTGAGATGAAATTACAATTGTTGATTTATATTACCATACATTTGTTTTTTTGTTTTTTTTTGTTAATGGTATATTTAATTTTTTATGAAGAATTCTGAGAAAATTAAGCAAGATGATGGCGATGCTGATGTCCGTGACAAGGATTTATTGCTGGAAAATTCAAAACTACGAAAGTTACTTTTTGAAGTTCATAATCAAGTTACCTCGTTTATAGGCTCTCAAACACAAATGCGCTTTGCGTCAATAGATCCAGAACTAGCCAGTCTAAAAGTATTTGCTTATTTATGATAAGAAAGTTAATAATATTTAATTTCACCCTAGTATTAACACTTTTATAATATATATGCGGCATACGAAAGACTCCTGAGTCGTATAATTCCAGAGCGGCGCATACTCAGCTTCCGTTTGAACTTTTTGCTCAGAATCTGGAAGAGGAAGTCAAAGATCTCTTACTGGCTCTTAAGTTTGAATGGGATAATCGTCCAGTTCTTGAAGATTTTCAACAAAAAGATGGTGAAATTTGGCAAAAAAATGATGAGATTCGGCAAAAAAACGCAGTGATCAAGCAAAAAGATGTCGAAATTCGGCAAAAATATGATGAGATTCGGCAAAAGGATGATGAGATCAGGCAAAAAGATGATGAGATTCGGCAAAAAGATGATGAGATTCGACAAAAAGATGATGTGATCAAGCAAAAAGATGATGTGATCAAACAAAAAGATGTCGAAACTCGGCAAAAAGATGACAAGATTAGGCAAAAAGACAATGTGATTCAGCAAAAAGATGATGTGATCAAACAAAAAGATGCCGAAACTCGGCAAAAAGATGACAAGATTAGGCAAAAAGACAATGTGATTCAGCAAAAAGATGATGTGATTCGGCAAATGGATAATGCGATTCAGCAAAAGGATGATAAAATTCGGCAAAAAGATGATGTGATTCGGCAAATGGATGATAAAATTCGGCAAAAAGATGATGTGATTCGGCAAATGGATAATGTGATTCAGCAAAAAGATGATGTGATTCGGAAAAAGGATGATAAAATTCGGCAAAAAAACGATGAAATTAAGAAAAAAGAAGAAATGATTTGCACCATTTATGAAATGTGTAAGAAATATAATAAAGATGCTTTCTAGAATCTCATAAATAGCGAATTTTTACGTATTTTTTATTTAAAACTATATACCTATTTACAATTTTAAAATGCTATCTATCGTACCCTAGAATATAGTAACTAGTTATCCGGATAACCAAATGATAAAATTGATTAATGGATAATATATAATTAAGGTACTCGGTCAACCTAAAAGATAACAAGATAAAATAAAAATACATATAATTATATATACACGTCGCTCTCGATATAACGTAGTATCTCGGGCACATAGTGAGGAATTTTTTAAAATCCGGTTTATTGAGAGTTTTATTAGTAAATCCATTATATCAAGTAGTATTATTATGATGTGAATCTGAATCTTGAACCATTATACGTATCGAGATTTTACTTAGTCTCCGTTATATCAAGTGTCTGTTATATCGAGAGTGACGTGTATATCATAATGTAATCCCGATACCTTCATTTGCATTCTAATGTGTTTAGAATTGCTTTGTTTGTAAATTTTTGATAAAATACCATATCAGATTATCAGCTTAAAATAAAATTAAACTGATTGGCTAATAATAATATCGATGATCATCAAATCCAAAAATAGAAGCGGACATAAACACTGGTCTATGACAACACCGTAAAGTCCTCGCTACGCTTCGGACAATTAAATGTTTATACTGTATATATTTATAATACGTACCATATCAGATTAATGATATGACCCGGTTAGACAATAATCGGGTAACCGAACCGAACCGAAAAAATCGGGTGACCCGGTTAAGCAAAA